CTTAAGAAAAATTTGTTTTATAGGAAAATATTCGCTTCAATGTGAAAATTTTTAAAGTAAAGGCTTAAAGTATGCAGGCTTAAACTTTAACTCTTAAAGTTTAAAGTTATGCTTCAAACGTTAATGTTTAAAGCTTAGTATTATTTTAAACTTTAACCTTAACTTTCAAAGTTTTAAGGCGCAATTTAAAGTTTAACCACTTTAACAGGCAAATTTTAATGCTAAAGTGCCACCCATATTTGCGACAAACGACAACTGAATTATTTACTTGAGGGTGGATGTGGGTGGGGTGTGGGGTGTGGGTGGGTGGGGGGGGTTGTGGGTGTGGGTGTGGGTGTGTGGGTGGATGTGGGGGTGTGGGTGGGTGAGTGTGGGTTTTTGTGTAGAGAAGACCCACACGCACCCACATCTCACACCTCCACCGTCGCACCGACCCCCACACACCCACATCCACACACATCACACCCACACCTCACTCACACCCTTGAAGGCAACTTCTTCTTTCTACACACCATGACAAATAATCGACATCCTATTTTGAATTATGTGGCAATGGAATTTTAGATTTTGAAGAAATTTTCTGGGTTTAGAATTGATTTGAAATAGGGAATTGAAAAGAATCTATTTTTTCTCTCTCTCTCTTTAGCTGATATGAGCTCCAATCACATATTATTACAGACATTTAGAAATAAGGTTTGATTTACCTTATGATGAGTTTTGATGAAAATTATGACCATCTGAATGTCTGAATGAAACGTCTTAATTGTATTGCATATTTTGACTTAATAGAAGAGAATACTCATTCACCCATTCATACCTTGTAAGCTTCGTCTATTTAGGATTACATTACATTCGGATAGGAATATATTTCATTTTTTTCAGAAAAAAATAAAAATAGATATAAGTATGTATACAATAAGAGGTAGTGGAAATATAATAATAAATAGAGTCATTCTTCCTTCAGATGTTCTAGTTAAACGTTTCAATGTAGACGGTTGATTCAATGAATTTGAAAGACATGTTCCATTCAACACTAATGGCAAACAAACTGTCTGTTCACAACCTGAATCAATAATACAGACGGATGATGACAGTGAACAAGATTGACAACTAGAAAATGCTGAACATTGGAATTTGAATGTGCAAAAATCAGTATTATTTGATGTTTTTTAACAAAAACATTTGGAATGCATTAATGGGCTACTTGTATTTGACGAAATAAGTTCCGTTGAATACGATTCTAGGAGCGAAACAAAATCTGAATTATCATTACAAAATATTAATGAATTGATTCAGAGAATTACCATTGTTACGAATACAGTTATAATCTTTATTACATCGTCGTCTTATTCGACTGCACCACCTTGAATCTTTCAATTCTTCTGCAGCCTCTGTCCAATTCGTCATTTGTAATGCTTTTTTCGTTTTACGAAATGTGTTCAATGTTCGACAACTAGTAAAAGCTACATCAATAATTGCGTTTCGTTTCATTGAAGGTAAATTAGGAACATACTCATTAGCACATTGTGTAGCTTCTTGATAGGAAATTCTATTCAAAATTTCTTCAGCTTGATCATTTGTCAGACAGTATTTACTTGTGTTTCTTTGGCAATCACTTAAAACATTTGAAAGTGTCAAATTATACATTAACATGATTGTTTCAGAATCATTCCGTGTAAGGTGATATCCAATACCAATCATTGGTACACCATCGGTATTATAACGACAACATAATTGTCGTCCTTGATTAATCATGGTTTGTTTTGGGCCACAGATAGTTAATGCCAACCGTATATATGCAAGAAACAAGAATATTTTCAACATAGCAGTTAATGATCATACGGATTGAATAATAAAAAAGGAAAGAATTATAATAGATTACAACTAATTTAAAATAAGACAAAACGGAAGTACAGAACAAAAACTATAAAGTAGTTTTTTTTTTTATTAGCACAATATATTTCCATAGATGTAAAAATTGCCTTTGATAAATATTGTCATTCATAGAATTTAAGAGTCAATTGAATGATCGTAAAAAAAATACAAATTAGCAAGCTATTTAGCTTTCTACATTCGAGACAATATCCATTTTGATCGAGGTAATAATTATAACCACTCAATAGTGAGTGTAACTATTACCAATCTGATTCCATTGCATGCTCGTCTCAAACTCTATTCTGCCGTATTGATATCATGTTTATTACTTGCAACATTAAATATTACGTGTGAATTCTCGATGAAGTTTCATTCACTTACAGAGAAAAAGAAGAGATAATTACTGAGAAGGTTGACATGATTGAGGCTGTGTGCGAAATAATTGTTGATATTTATAAATTGTATATTTATCAATAGGTTATAAATTCAAATTTGACGGAAAGATTGTTTGCAAAAACTTCGACCATATAAATAATCATAAATCGATTGGCTTCGAATTTTTCAATTTTCAACATTGTTCTTCGAACAGAACAACATATCTATCTTGCATTATAAATGAGTTAACATGATACTGGCAATAATCTATAACCGCTATCGATTCGTTGCTTGATAAATATGAAGTTTTATTAAATCTTTCAAATCATGTGAAGTACGAAAGAAGCTAAACGAGAAAACAGTTGACTTCATTGACTGACAAAACAAATATTTAGTAACGTTTTATCAACTATATTCCATAGATCAGACTATTTTTTGATATAAGATGCACAAAATAAAAATATATGCATATATTTTTATATACACTCTTCTGTCAATAGTGAAACGAGTAGGATGGTGACATAATGTATACCTTTCTTTATCTAATGCGTTTAATATCTACATAAAAAGTAAATATAACTACGAACAGACATATTTCATATTTCATTAATATTGTCCTTGCCTACAAATCATGATTAACATTCAAAGTCATGTCAAAATCACCACAAATTATCTGAAAAACATAATATGTGAAGGATATTATAAATCAAGAGTCAATACCGTTTTACAAATAAGTAGATGTGATATCAAAATTAAAAAAAAAACAGAGATACTGATTGAGATAATATAAATATAGATCAATCTCAAATTTTATCTTTGACAAGACCAACTCTGAAATTTATACTATCTACCAACGGAAGCTTTAACATATCATAGAATAATTGAAAAACATTTAATATTAGCTTTCAATATCAAGACGGCTTACAGTAAACAATACAAATGTGTTCAATGTAGAAGCCATTCTACATAAAACGTTTTCTTGATGTTATTTTCTAGTATGTGATAGGCTTGTCGAGGTTCCGAAGAACATCTAATCTAGACTTCATTCAAAGTCTAAATAAGTTAGTCACCTTGAGTCAGCTCTGAGAATTGATGTTAATAGAGTAGAATTTAGAGAATCATTTACACACTATGTTAGAGGTGAGCGTGGATGTGCATGACGAGAACAATGATACTCAAACATTCGCATTTCTATCTCTTTTAAAATATTCACTTGCCCAATTTTAGATACAATTTGGTTGATTGCACTATCAATGATTGAGAGAGATTTCCACATAGATGCAACACAAAAATAATCATGAAGTCTTGATTTAAGGTTCAATGGAATGAATAAAAAATGAAATATATTTTTCGATACATTGAATAATTATCCGTGAGTTCGAATTTATGCTCCAGTAACAATCTAGAAAATAATGGTATTCTAACTCAAAATACATTATACAGGATTATAAATTGTTAATAAAGGAAAAAAAACTGAAATTGTATATTTTTCAATGATTTTTGTATCCTTCGACATAAAAGCTTGATTAATCACGAGCAATAACATATAATTGTTGTGCAAAACCTGACTGCTTCATTTCTATTTGCTGTTTTATTCATTATTACCATCTAGTGTTGATTGTGACTGATTTAGAGAAATAAAGACGCATTATAATGTTCGTGAGTCAGACTAATACAAAAATTGATTACAAACAATTTTCAAATGTCTCTTTCCATAAAAAATGCGAAATCAAGAATGACCTATATCTATATATGGTGCTGATTTCATATGCCTAGTAATAGATTTTCAATTTGTGCTCACATACTGAATATTGCCAACGAATACTTCATCGATTCACTTATGAGCGTGGATTCTTTTTTTCTTTATGTTTCAATATCTTTCAATAATTTTATTCTGATTTCATAAAAATACGACGAATAATAAACAATGAATTGATATAAGTTCTTCAAAAATTGAAAATTTCTATCAAACTAAGATCATTTTCAATCTTGAACCACATTGTTTCAGACGAGGATGTGCAGTTGAAACGATTCACTTGGTTTTTATTTTTCAATCTTAAATTTGTACACCCATGTTAAACACTGCAAATCTTCTACTTGTAACTGCATTTTCGTCGATATTGATATTATTACTGATGATATAAAAGAAAAGAACAAATGCATCATGAATCACACTAATTCATTCAGTATGAAACTGAAAAGGGAACCACTCGCATGATGACTGAATTGACGAACTATTATCAGACGTATTATATTCCTTAGAACAAAAAAATATAAATCAAAAATAGTATTACTCTGTAAGCGAATGCCCTCTATTAGTAGCTGATAATCGCAGGCAACATATCCAAATATCTCAAATTTCTGCAGAATGATTTTATTAGGAAGTCACTTCATAACGTGCTCTTTGCTTTCCTATAGTTTGTTCTTTAAGGTGAAATAGAATCGTGAATATTCGATTCACATAATGTTTTCTTTTTATTTCTTATCTGTCCTGATTCATTTTCTGCCAAGCTATCATCTGGCAAAATGTGATTGTCGATATTTTTTTTCTTCGACGAATACAGACACTACTAGTATGTCTGTTTCACATGATAATTCGTGCGTGTTTGAATCTTATTTATGATTGATTGATACTGTTAACTTCAAAATGTTTTCATTCTAAAAAACTATACAAAAGATGATTTTATCAATAGTCAAATATTATAAACTGTCTAATTTAATTGTACCATGAAATTTCTTGTTATCCTTTCAGTCATCGGATTATTTTCTTTAGTTTATAATTCATTCTGTGCTCTGGAAAAATTATTAGCGATAATGTCTCATACAGAAGACATTAGTATGAAGATAAATAGACGTCTCTGTTACTTCGTTGGATTTGAATGAAATGAGTTGTTAACCATTACACTATATACACTATGATTGCATATTAGTCATTCAATCAATGATGTCAACATCCTCATGAATGCTATCGCACATGACTAAATTGCAGTAGCATATAGGACGATTTGATGATGGTTGCTTATCGTAGTGGTTTTTGTTGTTTAAAAGCAAAGTGATGGATAGCTACTAACATTTAAATGTAATGATAATTTTCAGTAAGAATTTGTTCTAGTGCAGAAACATCACAGTAGACAAAGGATGTTAATAAAGTTTTGAACAAATATGACGTTCATCTTATTTTCAGTGGCATACTACTTTATAGAAGTTACGAATTGATTTACAATTCATAAGTAATGTCAAGATCACAAATGAGATTGGTATCGTCGATTGATAATTTTGTTGTTAAATTGAAATACTCTACAGCAATCATCAATGAGAGTGTCATTAAATATCACCATACTCGAGAGAAATGAAGCATTTCTACATATCTTTGTAGCAATGTCGGGTTTTGTGGACAGCTTACAGAGTGCAATGATATTTGTTTTTGTAGATAAGCTTCTCTATATGAAAGGAAGTGAGTCTTGATGACGAATGTGTGTCTTTTTCTTGTCATTTCTTTATCTTTATTGTGTGTCATAGATTGCATCATAAATACTACCTTATATTGTTTTTTTAAAGATTATGCTTATAAATACACCTCATTCTTTCATTGTACATTACACTTGACTGAAGTACTTCGTTCGAATACAATAACAGAAATCCATGGTGAAGTTAGAAGAAAATCAGTATGTACGTGATGGTCATGTTCATGCTCACCTCGATATTGCTTGTACTTATAATGAAAAACACACAATTGAACTTGTTGGCCATGAATTCATTATATATCCAAATGTATTCAATCCTACAGTGTTTCCTCTATCAGATCATGTAATCAAAATGTGGCTACATCTCATCCATCTGATAAAACCTGAATCAGTACTCGAAATTGGTTCTGGAGCTGGTTATTTGGCTATTCTTGCTGCTCTTAATGGTGCTAATCGGGTCACGGCTACTGATATTACTCACGATGCGATAGAGAACATTGAGGCTAACATTGAAAAATACAATTTAGGAGATCGCATGCAAGCAGTTTATGGCAGCGTTTTTGAACCATTCGATAAGAATAATCGATTCGATGTTATTTTTTGGGACATACCTTTCTGTCATATTGATAAGCCAATGGAAGAACTTAGTGCACTCGAGCGTACGGTTTTTAATCCAGGTTACATACTTTTCGAGGCATATTTGAAAGGAGCTCACCAACATTTAACAGATACTGGCCGTGTCTTTATGGCTTTCTCAAATATGATGGGTCATCCAGAAAAAATATTAGAATTGATCAACAAATATGACTGGCGTTTGGAGGTTGTGGTGAATCCTGAGCACGTCACATCGAATATTGAAAGTATGCACGATAATAACGTCGATATGGAAATCTATGAATTGATCAAATTATGATCGATAATGAAAAAAAAACAATAGAGTTTGTGCATCTTTTGTTTTATTGTAAGATTTTTACGAATAGATCTAATTGAATTAATCGATTTTGCCATATCTGATGTAGAAGCTTGGCTCCTTCTCTGAAAGATGAATCAATGAATTATGTAAGAACAATGTGTGAGGTATGTTCTTCGAATGAGTCCTTTTTGTCAGAGTACTCTTTTTCCAGAAAGAATGATTCATCAATGACAGTGCTTTTTAGATTTTGAAATATTTCAGCAAAAAAATGATGAGGAATTAGCAGTTCCCTACAAATCGAGAAACATCAATTATTCTTGGACGAAGTTGTGAAAGGTATGCTTGAAAAATTAAAAGGAATTCACTTGACTTTTAATGTTATCCTTAATTTTCATTTGGGACATTTTATTTGACACAACTAAATACGAACGAGATGATTGTTAGATGATAAACCATCTTATAATTCTCATGATTTCTTGATAGCGAGGATTGTGAGAAATAGCTTTAGTAAAAAGAGTCAATAGTATATTTCATGATCAATTAAACAATTATTACCACTATAAAATACAATTTATAATTAACATATTTTATCAAATAAGCATCATTCGATTTTTTTGATTTGATTAAAATCTTTTGTCTTTATAAAGTTATTTGACTCATATTTAACACCCACAAAAAAAAACAGATGATGAACGACTTCAATATCTTTTGATAATAAAAATCGAATGATTGCTGCAAAATGAAACTAGAATACATCAATGTCAGTTATTGTAGTCGAAGACACAAACTAACAACTAATTTGATCCTTTTTAGCATACATTTGTCCATAATAGTCATATTCGTAATAATACTTCTATTAGATATTGATCACAGGACTTTACTTTTGTTGTATTCGTGCAGAATACGTTGCACTATGGATTAGGAACTCGAAATTCTGCGCGTGTGTTAAAAGAAGACCCACACCCACACTCCAGTTCTAATCTCACCAACAATTTTCTCTCGTACAGTGTTACTTGATCGACTCAGTCATATGTAATCAATATAGCTCTTTTACATCGTTCCTATCAAGAAGATTGAGAGAGTCATGCCCACTGAATGTTCAATCTGTACGATCATGCTCTCTTAGACTGGTCTGAATACAATCTTCAATCATGAAACAATATTTCTTATAGGCTACTGGTGGCATGGTTATTGATCTGACTTTTTTCGTAAAATGCGCTGAAGCCTTTTATGTACGTGTACCATTAAATAGATGAGTACTAACGGTTTGAATAGGTAAAAATCTCGTTGTTCATTACGAGTACAAACAGTGGTACAAATTGTAATAGAAACGGTCTAGCTCAATCTTAATGTTTCTAGTTTGACCTGTTTGTTATATAATAAAAGTTCAATGATATAACATTTGTTGCGCAAGTACATTTAATTTTTCGCAATTTTTTATAAAAAAGATGAATTGACAAATTGAAATTAATTCACTCTTTCCAAAAAAAACACCTGATCTTAGTTATATGTTTAGCGTAATGTCTGTTTTTTTTAATAATTATTCTTCATCCTATTAAATATCATCTGCAACGGATACCAATCGCGTTAGAAGTATTTCACCAGCGGCACCTTCGAAATATCAAGCCAGGAAAAATAACTTACGTGGAAATTGCCGTAGAAGGACTCATTTCAATATTGATTTCAGCTACGGGAATGTCACACTTTTGCGACAAACGATGATATTTCCACCTTCAATTTGTCCTGTAGAAAAGAGTAAAACAGAAAGAATAGGTCGACATTCAACTAGGAAACGATCGCATAGACCGATTTCTTCATCGCCTTTTTTTCCAAAACACCGCGTCAGAGTATTTTATCAAACTAGATAATATGAGAACGAACAAGTGATTGACATTGACGACAACTAGGAAGATCTGCATTGCAATTTCAGAGCCATTCTCATTCGATAATCGAGAATATTTCATCATGATCAACGCAAGTGTTGTGAAAAAAAAACAGAAACATGTTTACCTTTGATTTTGTAAAGCTTCGCAGGTTGAACTGCCATTGTTTTCTTCAATAAAACCACATGATATACATTGAGTCGTGAAAAGATTACCTGTTGACAATTATTTCATTCAAAAGAGCATAGTTGAGTGTGGGTGTGGCTATCAATTGGGCCACATTATACTGAGTTATTGCGAAGTCTCTACCATACTCGTTAAAACTATTTTTTTTTCCATTGAAATAAAATCAATCTTGATATTCTAATTACTAATTCATGATATTCATGAATACGAAAAGAATTGAAGAAACATTTAAAAGAAATGATTCAAATAGTATTCATATGTTCTCTATAATAAATAATTCATTTCAAAAGGTAGAGTCGTGTAAAACAAATATAAGATAGACGTATTTTATCTATTAGAATGATAAAGACCACATCATAAGATGGTTTTTGAAGAAGTTACTTGTCATCATATAGGAAGAGGGTAAGGATGATACATAAAGTTATTATGAAATCTTTAAATACTCCTTCGAAAGTATTTGTGTTAAAGATGATATTCTTAAACAACATTTCGACTTTTTCTATCGGAAGGTCAATCGATGATTAATAACGATTTATCGAAACTAGATTCGTTAGCTGAAACGTGACTGATCGTCAACTTTGCTCCATTGCCATGTAATAAAAACTAGACTAAACATAAGATGAAAATCGATTAAAATTCTACACTTTTTGTCGATATTCATCTGACTTTTACTCTAATTTTTAACAGGAGTGATTTCGACGATTTTTTCAATTAATCGCGAGTATTCCTCCCATTGTCCATGTAGGTTCTTGAATTAGCTGCTTTATGACATACATGAAATCACGAGTTATACTGATATTTTTCGTAATTTCACAGTTGATTTAGGGAAATTTATATTTTTTGTTTTAAAAAGAGACAGTATTGTAATTAAAGTGAACAGAGAACAAAATAAAATACTAATCATTCATACAAAAAACTACGATACAATTCGGGTGAAACGAAATATAAAGAGAAGATTCAATATTGTTTAGATTCATATTCTAGATCGAGTATAGTAGTCTGAAAGTATATCTAGAATATAGAGTACAGTACTGAAAACGAATGAACTAATTCTGCCGATAAAGAAGATGTTCTTCTTTTACGAAACTTGAAGACGAGTATTCATGTAAAATTGAGATCAAAATGAAAAAAATTCTTATTAAGAGAATGATTAAATCGAAAAAATATTTTGAGATAAGTTACAATCACGATCAAGAAAATCATTCGAATGCAAAGTTCAGTTCGATTGCTACTCAAAGTTATCCAATCTCTTGCATGTTAGTTTATCGACATCTTATGAAAAATACGTCTAGTTTTGAGTCTCAAACTTCTAGGAGTATATTGAAAAAAAAAGTTGTGTATTGAATCTATTTCAATCTCGATTTCATATATTTTTAAATTGCACTTTTTTAAATGTGAGTTAATCATCGCTTGTGCCAAAATACATGGTTTTTAACAATAATACATTAGAAATAAAAGAAGAACATAGTATTATACGTGACAATTGGTTCATAAGTGTAAAAGATCCCGTACAAACGATCTATACTTAGTTTCTGTTATTCTATAAGGTATTAAGATATTCATAAAAACATATATCTATTGACACAATTCAGAAATGAGAGACTGCTTTTATTCCTGGAAGAGACTAAACCAATTAAAATCTTATCAAAATTAATTTTAATTGATTACATTAGATTTATACTAATTTAAATTGGAATTTTTTAAAACTTACTTCTCGATTTAATAAATTTCTCTAAATTAAAATTTGACATCTTTATCCATCGTTTAATAAAATCAGTGATAAAACAGTAATTTATCATCCTGATTTACCATCAATTCTGAAACGATCATTTCTATTTCTATTTCTATAATCGTGATTGAATGTAATTTAATCACTGGTGTTTGTGCAGTGAACAATTAATCAGGACACTACGTCAATAATCTTTGAAATCGAGAAAATCGTCACGATTCTTACGACATGGGAAGGTTGATTCTATCTGCTATCGATTCTACCTCAGATTCATTGTCATCTTTGAAAAGCAAGTAATAGATTGACTGAGCAATACGACTAAATATGAACATAAGAACACATTGAACAGTATAGTACTTAGAACTATTTTGCTTTAGATATGATGTTGTTCAAAATGTTATGGGGTTTATCTGTTCTTACAACACTCTCATTTGAAAATGAGACGATTGTTTTTTCACGTGGTGAAGCTGGATATTATTGCATTCGAATTCCATCTCTCTTGACTACAGTTCAAGGCACTTTATTAGCATTTGGCGAAGCAAGAATGTTTGATTGCCTTGATAATACTCAAATAGATATTGTTTTCAAACGAAGTATAGATAATGGAAAGACATGGTCCAATTTACAAATCTTGTATCGTGGTAATGCTTCCGGTGAAAATTTTAATTGGGTAGGCAATTTTGCACCAGTTCAATTAAAATACAATCAACGAATATTAGTTCCATTTTGTAAGAACAATCGTATCCTAATGCAAGCCTATTCCGATGATGATGGTCTAACATTTTCTCAACCACAAATTATCTTTAACGTAACAAAACCTAATTGGAAATGGGTTGCTCTAGGTCCACCGAGTGGTCTACTTTTACAGTCTAATCGAATATTAATTCCTGGTGATTATTCCACCCTGACAAATATTCGAACTGGTTCATTTTCTACTGGTTTTGTTATGCTCAATGATTTCGATGGTCAAATAGATAAATGGTATTTGGGTGGAGAGTACAAGCTGGATGATTATTTTCCAAATGAAGGTCAAGCTGTAGAATTATTACCGCAGGGCAATTCAATATTTGTTAATGCTCGTTCGTATAGTACGAAACGAATTGGTGCGTATAGTGATGATGGTGGAATAACATTTAAAAAAGTCGTTTTATTGAATACATTGGTGCAACCATTACATGGATGTGAAGGCTCAACAATCTATCATCCAAAGATGAATCAGTTGTTTTATTCTGGTTTAGCTGAAACATCCATAATTCGTACAAATCTCTCATTACATGTCAGCATTGATAATGGTGAAAATTGGTCCTATATCAAATCGATTTGTTCAGGTCCATCTGGTTACTCATCTTTGACATTGATGCATGATCATTCCATAGCTGTTTTATATGAAAAAGGTAGTACAGTTGGTGGACCTGATTCTTTAATATTCACTATAGTTTACAACCAAACTGAAAAGGACATTGATGCATCATTATCGGTAAATGTCGATTACAACCTTGAAGCTTCGAAATAGAAACTGTTTACAAATCATCAAAAATTTTTTCAGCGAATGTTGCATCCTTCAGTCTATCTCTTAGAAACTCACTGTGTTGATCAAGTTATAGACAACCAGATAGAAACTGACTATGATCCTAGTGGATGCTTTTCTTTGCATTTCTGTAAAATCTATCATCGAGCTATCAGAAGAAAAATTGAATGATTTGCCACTGAAACTTCACTATAAGTCTTCATTTATAATCATAAGAGGTTGTGGTCGTGAGTGGGAGTATGTGTGTGAGTCATCCTGTATTTGAACGATATCTAGGCCGAATCGACACAAACACCCACACTCTCTGTTCGAGAACACTCAAATATCTTCTTTTGTATTTGTGGATGCTCACGAGTGACTAGTGGTAGCACAGAATTTATACTCATATCCAAAAGGATTAGATTTCAATGAAATTGTTCGAAAGGAAATTCAAAATATGGCTCAACACCACTTTGATAAATTCAAGAACATTGATAATTGTAAATATTTATCATCATTTTATTCTCAAAACACTACTCTCGGAAGGACCTTTGTTCAGGTTTTATTGATGAAGTTTCTGATCCGATGGCGTAGTGTGTTAAGGAAATATATCTAGGCTCCTATGTCATTCTGTTGGATGTTTTAACAATAGTCATTCAGTTTCATGATAAATTATTACAAACATCAGCTAGAGACAAATACATTACCAATGTGATTACCATTAATGATAGTAAATGCATTGCTCAATTTTTTATAAATATACGCATCATGCATTTTAGAATATACATCGTATATTGGTATGATACGTTTATTGAATGATGTGCCAATGACAGATGGCTATACAATCTGTGCTAGTATTTGGCAGATGGTTGAATATTTGAATGAGAATAAGTTAGAATTACAGTTGAAGTTATTTGAAAAATTGTTTATAATCTATACTAAATAATGGTATTACAAATATGATTAGTTCGTTAATAAAATTGTCTCGTGAAAATGACCTAAAGAAAAAATGCAATATATGTTGAGAATTTTACGAGCTTTCTATACATATGAAATTTGGCAAACTATACGTCGACCATACAAAAATTGAGATTTACTTGATCTGATAGCACAAAAAAAAATGTTGATCGATTAGTAGAACTGAATTTGGATAAATACAAAACGCCAGTACAACAATAGTTCAAGAATGAATCATTCGTAGACGAAATTCAATTCCATGATAAAGCACATCTTGATGAAAAATATTTGAATGATCTACTTGCATCAGTCTATTACGTTGACTATGTTATTCTACCACCTCAATTCATTTCAATCGTAGCCAATTCAAATACTGATAGTATTAAAGATATTTCTTCAATGAATTAAGAGTCAATATGTCAAACTTTAGAGATCGATTATGATTTGAAATTTTTCAAATTTTTTTGATGTTTTTCAAGTGCCTCACTATACAACAAAGATCAGTCAAGTAGATACTGATAGTGAAATGATGAAAATAATCGACGTGAGTCATGAAAGAGCAGCGCAAGACGATTCGAAATATCCGAAGTTTTTCTTCTAGGAAGAAATGATGAACTTGTTTTGAATAATGAAAATCCTTTGTTCACAACAAATCTCAGTGACTATGTAAATATTTCTACTAAATTCTGTCAAAGTGACGAATAGATCAAACTCAAAGCACAATATATAAAATGTAGATTACATATCTATCAGCATGAATTACTCAATCGTCATGAACATATGAATATGCTACGTTATAGCTCTACAAGGATACTGTTCTTTCAGACGAATTTAACAAGTGTATTGTTAAATCCATAGCAATTATTGTGGAGTATCCCAAATTGTTCGGTTACTCTAATAAATCATTAGCAGAACTATAATTCAACCAGAACGAATTTCGTTTTTTTTTTCAACAGTAATCGAAAGAATTCGTTTTGAGATATCGATGCTTTCTTTGATGGTGATGCACAGTAAGTAGTCATAACTTCGATACCCAAATACAGATTTATACATAGTAAACAGTTGCTTTTGCAGCTAAAACTTCAAAAAAATTTGTATGGAAAAATGATTGAAACAGATTTTATTCGCATTACACTCACAGTCACCCTCAATTTAAACTTGTCAACATAATAAATAACTTATAAACTGTTTTAGAGAAATTTTTCATTTGATTCACAAGCAGTTACATGAGTATACATGACGCCCATTTCGAATACTTGTTCACTACGCGTTCATCATTTTTGTTTTGTTTTACAATCCACATCATAGAACTCACTATATTTGCATAATGGTCATCATAAAAATCGATATCATGGTCGTGTTTTAATTGTTCTTGTAGACTTTGCAAATGTTTTAATGGATCTTGTTGGTAACGGTGTAGGAATATCCGAGCGTATACGCAGAGTGCTTCACCATCACAGAACGTGCATAATTGAGGTACAAGAGTTCTTTCAGTGCACCACCAAACTCTAACGTCAGCTTTTGACCACGTGTGAGGTGATGTTTTTGGCACAGAATATTCAATATTAGATTCGGAAACCTTCGTTTTTAATGAACTATTATTTTCATTAACTATAGATGGTATACAGACTTTATTTGAGGAGTGAACCATTTGTGTCTGTGACGTTTCCATACATTTTAATGAATAATTATTTGCAGTTATGAATTTAGCGAGACGATCAATTCTTTCAGCGAATGGCTTGCTACCGAACTTAACATGTAATCCTGTAAGATGAATATCAAGCCAAGGTTCTGCCTCATATTTGTCATCAATATATAAAGCAATGATTGGAATTCCGAGTTTTATAGCATAACTTGCCTCAACACGACATGAACGGCTTTTAGTACAGTAGTTTTCTGAGACAATCACAAGCACCTTACTTGCATTCTTTATGGCTATTGCTATTTCTTCCCAACAGTCGTTTGACAAACAATGTCCATCCTCATCGACCCATACTGAAATGGAGCGTTCTTTCAGAGCAGTGACAACCGACCTGCAGAAATCGGCATCTAAATGTGAATAAGAAACCATTGGAATTTTCGTTGTAGATGTATTGAAAAGCTCATTATCATTTGAAATCGATATTTTGAATTGATCAAGATAGACCAATATTCCATGAGCAGCTGTTTTAATACTCATCAAATTGTTTCTCAATGATGAAGGAATAATTGCATCAGTGTTTGAAGTCGATGAATTCGAAGCTTCCAAAACAGATTTTATAAATATTTGATTTTTTTTCAGTTCTTGTTGAACAGATTCATGAAATGCAAGACTACATAAAATATTGTATAGTGCTAGTCGAATGAGATGTTTTACAAATAGATCATTAATGGGGAGAATATTGTGCTTAAAAAAGAGTTCAACAAAGAACCCAAGACCACCTATTATGCTATCATTTAATACATAGGTTGCTATATTATCATTAATGAGAAGTTTGGCGAGTTGCACTAAGTATTCGTAGAGATGACCCGTTTTCGAACGTAAATCAGCTGAAGCATTTGCTTCATGAATTTTTGTGAGCAAAAAATCAATAGCTGGCTTAAGAACCGTTAGAGTTTTGACTTGATCAGCTGTTGATATCATTGCATAGATTCGAGGATAAAATGATAAAGTAAATTGATTTTTTTCTAGTCTGTTAGCCGAAGCCTTTTCAGACATTTCTATAGCAGCGATGGCACCGGCCTCGTTCAATGCAGTTGCGCCTTCTTCACATTCACTCACATTGCTCATTGCAACAATAAGTGAGTCAAGTGGATCAGATGAAATATTACGTTTACTAATCATATTCAACCATTCGACAAGTTTTGCTGGAAAATCAAAATGGATAATCGTTGGTAGCAACATTTTGTTATCCGACATAGTAACGATAAGGCAGAAAATTATCTCGATACATTGTTGTCTTGCTATATCGTTTTCTGTGTTCGTGAAAAAACGATCAATAAATGTAATGATTTTAAAAAACACTGCGTCATAGCGTTCATCGTGCAAAGACTTGTGAGCTGTGTAATCAGATAAATTTAGATGCTCCATATGTCGACTATCTGCCAAAACTACGATTTCAGCCAATGTCAAAAATATTTTAACATAGAATTTGAAAATAGTCTCCACATCAAATCCAATGAGATATGCAGATAATTCATTCGTGCTCAAACCATCCATTGCTGTTGTATAATATTCCTTTGCTGATAGAATTTCTTTTTCAATTAGTTCACCAAGTTTCGAACCAATCATATTCCAAATATGATCCATAACAGTCATAAATAGCGAGTACTTGGATAGTGAAGACGAGAGTGTAATAGAAATTTTACAAAAGCGAATAAATATACTAGGCAATTGATGTTTTCCTGTTTGTTCGTTTGTTGCTGATTTGTTTTGAATAGTTGGATTGGTCAGATGATCTTTCAACGCAGATAATATATCATTAATTTCAGAGCTATCAGAATTTTGGTCAGGTAACCTTGTACATAACTCAAGACGGTCAATTAATTCATTGATTTTGATCAGATCTACGATTTTTTCAGTATCATCATTGGTGTTGTTTTGAAACTGACTCAGTACCATAGCTATGTAATGTAGGTCATATGTTAAGTTTTTAAGGACAATGTGTGAACGGTATCTTTTTCTTTTCACTCTCACTTTTTTTTTCGTCTTTTATATCTCCGTGTAAATAGAAAGAAAGAAAAAAAAAGAATAAGGCTAAAGTAGAGGTTTTTCATGGTAATGAAACTAACATTAAATCTATTTTCTAACCCAAAAATATGTGAGTGAAGCATATACTAATAGGATATTTCATATATTATGAATTTTGACAAAACTGCTTTACAAATAGATAGAAAAAAATATTTATTAAAATACATTTGTATGAATTTTGAGTGTTCAGATTGGTATTTTAAATAGTACAATATTTTCTAACATTAACCCTTTAAATAACAGCGCTCCAAATACATGACACTTTCTCTTAAGCATCTATATTTTTGAATAGCTAGCGAATGTGGAACGATGTTCAAATTATCATGTTTTCTTCTAATATAGATAATAAATATTGTACTTTCAAAGTACAAAAGTATGCTGTTTCTCCCTTGTAACATTCTCTCGTATAATAATATTTATATAAGAATGTTATTACCAATGTTTTGAAATCAAAGTTCTTCATAGTGCCACCCTATGAAAGTATAGGAACATACAGGAATTCAAAAGTATCCTTTACATAGGATTTTGCATAACTATATAGGTATGAGGGGTTCACCATAAACAGCTTACCCTAGTTTGATTAACGTAATATCGAAATAATTTTTACTGGTTAAGTTAGTGTATGTTTTACTATGTAAATAACTAAAACAACAAACAATAATAATGATAAAAGAAAACAAAATATGAAAGTCAGTCACAACTGAGTGATTAAAGAAGGATTCGAGAGAATCAAAACAAACTGGCAATATGTGAATATATGGTTAGCGTCAACAGGCGCCATCTGTTGATGCTAACATGCAACAAAGTTCCTTTTGAAAAAATGAAGAAACAAAAATTGCGTTCGATTGAATATTTAACTTGTCCACACATTTTTCACATTAATATAAACAAAAGCCAAGTGTCTAGAGATGCCAAAGAAAATATTTTGCTGGTTTCTCTAATGTAAACTACCTCTTCTCATGCCTAATATCCATGCCAAAAATTAATGTGGTTCACTGTTTCTTGCATAACGTTTGATAGAAACATTAGAGAAATCTGCGATTTTCACCATTCAAAAGACAACACTCAAAACCAAGGAAATATATCAAAATTTGATTGGTAAGAAATTGATCAATGGGGTGAATAATGATGGAGATTTTTGAAAACGATATTTCGAACCTATTTGTTATTTCATCATTTCCGAAATTTCACAATCTACCATTAATCTATCAAATGAGTCGGTATTTAGCGAAAATTGTAAACTACCAGTGTCAGATACTTTCGAACCCATAAGCAAATATCAACATTCGATTTACCATGATAAATTACCCCATCCTAGATACCTTTCGGAGTGATCCAAGGTCAATTGACTAAAATTCTAGATATCAGGCAAATCCTTCTAACTCTTGAACAGAATAAGTTAGGAAAATCAGCCTATTCAAAGTCTACATCACAAGAAAAATAAGTTCCAAATATCATTTTCAAAAATCTTCACTAATAATTCACCCGATTGATCAACTCTGCGTGTTAAAACAGTAATACTCACATCCACTTCCTAAAAATATACAAAGATAAGGGTTCTACACTCAATTTCGAAGTGCTCTCGCAGAAATTGAACCTGTAACGTGTTTGTGTTGTAATAAAATAATTCATCATTGATTTATAAAACGCCGTAGTCGAGATTGTTTGTAGTATTCAGGATGTAAATGTAGATGTGAGATGCAGTGATGGCCGTTAGCGAAGAGAACACGAACACTCGTATCCATTGACACACACTCTAATATCGAGGTACAGTTGGTGACAAAAAACTCATTAACTAGTGTACTTTTGAAATATGTAAATGAAGTTAACATTTTAAAAAATTGATTGAGCATCATAGATTGTGATGTACGTGCAATAGGTGATATGTAATCATCCGACAACATTAATACAAAAAGAGAAAACAAAGTTACTTATTACTTTCAATCAATTGCTTTGTCATGCTGATGCTAGTTTTCAGATCAGTAATAATCTCGAAATTTATTTGTGCTATATCATTTTCCAACAATTTCATTGCCTTCTCATAGTTTTCTAAAGCATGAATATAGTCTCTTTGGTTGAAATGATTATCAGCGATTGCTTTATACATAGGTGCAAGATTTTGATGATCAGATTGTAGATAAGTCAAGCTCATTTGAAGTGCTTGATGATAATGATGTAAGGCTTTGACATATTCATTGTTGTAGGTATAAATAGCAGCAAGACCATTATGTAAACGTACAAGACGCCGAGGTTGACTACAAAAATTAGGATCTTGCAATAATCCAAAAAGAACCTGCTCAGCACGTTTATATTCCTCCATGTCTATCAGCAATTTACCCAAAAAATAGCCTTGATTAGAATGTATTTCAGGATTTCGAGTAGCAGCTAGAATATGAAGAAGTTCTTGATCAGTATCATTAATTAGTTTTAATTTAACCAACCATATAATCATTACACCATTCGTAGTTTGTTCAATAGATTCAATGCGAAAAATGGTATTCATATAAAAGCAAACTTCATCTTTGTTCATATCTGCATCTTTGAGTAAAGCAAACGGATTTTTTTCATTAAATAGCGTCTGATCGATATCTATTTCGAAAATAATACCTGTCATATCAAGATGCATTGCTAGCCGACAATTAACAAAATCAATAGCAACTTCTTTGTTACTAGTAGCGATAAGAAAACTATTAAATGAAAGAAAACCACCACAATAATTCTTTATGGTAGTATTAAATTCAACATGTGACATGATTTTACCGCGATAAACGACAGATATCATTTTCATAAGTGATGCATTTTCTTCGTGTAATCGGTTAAGTTGTATATTTGCTTGTTTGATAAGAAAACCAAATTTATAGATAATATCTATCTCACGTGTACGTTGTACACGATTTAGTATTTTTGAAATGAAACATTGATTTGTTAACCACCAGAAAACTTTATGTGGCCGATAATTTTTTGCAAATTCATCAATTAAACGTAATTGTTCATCATTGTTCGTATAATGCATTCGACAAAAATCGATCAAAACATCTTTAGAAGAACTTTCGAATTTAAGACGAGAAATAATTTCTTTAATCATTTGTCCGAAAAGAAATGATGCTTGTTGTTTTGTCAATTTTGACGAGAATGAAATATCTTGTGATGATACCGACACAACACTAATAGACATAAAATCCATTTCACACACTTGGATATCTTCTTGAAGTTGCTTGTAAAGGCTATTGATATTCTGAATAATATCATATTTTAAAGTTTGATGTTTCATTTCATTTAGTACTTGAAAGGAATCGAATATATAGAGTTTCTCAAGTTGTGGTAAATGATGAAAACATTCGAATGTTTGATACATATCAGATATAATAAGAAATACCTTTTCATCTTGAACATTATTGATAAAAGTAATACATGCATCGATATCAGTAAATGTTTTTAATCCATAAACGAGCTTTCGTAAGTGTTTTATTTCGTTGTCAAATTTATTTGAAGTCTCATTATAAAGCCAAATAATAAGACAACTTTCAAGAAAACGTGCCGTCTGTAGAATAGTTTTCGTCATTGGTAAAGATTCTTCATGACTTGATGATAAGTGTCTAAGTTGAACGTTAGATGTTGCATTTGTAGAAGACGAACAACCCATCATAAAAATCACTATGTTAATGTACGTGATTTGGAAATAATATTTTTTTTTCCCTTTCTAAAAAAGAAAAGTAGAAACTATTAAAATCTATTCATCGATTGTAAACATTGGAAAAGAAAAACACTGTTTGTCATATTCTCCCTTTACTTTCTGTTGCTAACTATCCTTTTCTTTTATTTGGAAGAATAATCAGCAGAAATAACAATATATATAATAATATGTTTGTTTGTTTGATGAAATATCTAGTCATCTAATTACTAGATCATTTTGACTAATATAAAAAACAAAAACTCTTCGTCGAAATTTTCTGCTCTCTAATTACGTATCTCTATCGGGTTGTATGCTAAGATTATGTTATACTTAAAAATTTTCCGGTGGTTGTGCTGTAATTCATGTAAATAATCCCTTGTAGTTTTATTTTTTCTAGATTTTCTTAAGTAGTGAATCTCATCTTTTTTTTTATGCCACACTGAACGATGCTGCTTTACTAATTAAATATAGCATATTTATTCTATCATCACAAGATGCTCCTTTAGAAAAAAACATCTTGCGTCACGTCATAAAAGAGCATGGCAGAAAAATCTTAATCAATTTTTTTTTATTCGAAAGACACATCGCTCAAGGTGAAAGAATTCGAAGAAATATAGACGAACATTATTGTATTGGCATGTAGATTTCTTTGTATAATAAAATTACAACTCTCTAATATGTTCTTATATAAGAATAAAAGTTCACATACATTTATTGAAATTAGTCTTCGGTAAATTTCAAAAGAAAGTTCTTTGAAGACAATGAAATTGATAAAGAATTAAAGCTAGTGATGGTAGAAACAGCCAATATTGAATGGGGCGAGAGGATGTCGGAATTTTTTGCAACAGAAGAATATCTTTCTGCTAACAAAATACAAAAAAGAAAATTTCAGATCTTCTAATGAAAAAGTGATTATATATCTGGAAACTATGTAACGATGGATGAAAAATGTCAATATTTCAAAAGACAACAGTACAATAGTATTTGATGATACATATGATAATCAAACACATGATCGGAACTTATATAATTTTCAAATATTCATTGAATACGTTATGACGTTTTTCTATTTTCTTTCACGATAAAATTACTTATTAGAAAAAGCTTGTTTTTCTTTTCAATATCAAAAGATACTCACTCAAATTAGATATAATACTTGCTAATAAACTTATGCTAAGAAATTTTTTATCATTAAAAAAAAAAAGATCAAAAACTATCTTCTCTTAAATAAGAAAATTAAGGATGGTCTATCGTAGCATACGATGTCTTGGAAAATTGTAAAAGCAAAAATAAAAAGTTACTCTATTATATAGGATCTGACAGATAACTACCTTCGTCATATCTTCGTATGTGAACTACAAATGAGCTGTTTCTCTAATAACTCAGACGACCTGTTAAGCATTTCTTGAAGCTTGAGATATTTTTTGAAAGCAATCACCCGTGTTCCTATTTAATTATATTGTGTCATGATGCATGTATGAGAGAAAATCAAGATATCTTTCACGATAAACCATACCAGAAAATAGAAAATGTTTTAATTACATTTGACAGATACATTGTTTTGACATAATCTGCTGCCTAAATCGAGATTGAATGTTTTCGAAGTATGTTGCTAAGCTCAACAACAGTCATCTTACACACAACCAGGCACTATAGCTGTTATAATACCAGTCAGTCAAGAAATAGAAAAGAAAAAATCAAGACAAGAATGAAAAAGAAATTGGAAGCCAAAGCTCAAGTAAAGAAGCTTAATGATGATACCTTTTTTTTCAAGTTGTAATATAATAAATTCTAAGGAAAAAAAAGGAAAAAGATGTGTTTCAATCAATAATTTAATAAGGGATAATGAAATAGATAAAATGCATTCTAATATCCATTGGTAAAAAAATACGGTCTACGAGGGTATGGATGTGGGTCCATAGAAGAATATTCAAATACCCATATTCGTACCCTAATAGTTAGAAATAATAGACACTTCGATTAGGGCGTTTAGAAAATTGTTCACATTGCACAAATACTAAGTTGTAGAAAAATCAAGCACTTGTGATTTTTGTATTGTGGGTCATATCGAAATTGAATAAGCGATGTACTTCGATAACTCCTCAATCATGTCTTTTTCTATTGAATTGCCTATTTGTTCTAGTGCTCTCTGGTGTAAAATCCACTAGAAGAAAATGTGTTATTGGATAATATTTGAAAAGATTCATATAAGAGTCGATAGAATCAACAACGTCAAGTGACTCACCGAGAATGTCTTCATAACTTGAAATGTTTCTTTTTAATACAGAGAATGACACAGTTGGGTTTGTTTCTTTCTATCCCACTTGCAATGGTACGAAAAAATGTTTCGCAATACGTACTGCCAACTGTGATTTAGGTCAATATGATGAAAGAAACTATTTTGTCATCCGTTTGAAATGAGTCACTATCTTCAACAAGGATAGATTTTCAGATTCGATGATGCAATAACTTTGTTGTGTGTCTCACGTTTATAAAGTCTTGCATATTTTTACTTCCTTTCATTTTTTTGTTGCTTTTATAATTGTTACTGTTACAAAAAAAACAAATACAACATGCTACCCGCTTCTCAACCTGCAACATCAGAAGATACTGTTGATGACTGTACCATTTGTTTGAACGTTCTCGCACAAGGCACTCCACTATTGACATTGTCGTGTTGTCACAAATTTCATTTTCAATGTTTGGCATCGAATATCCAAGCAAAAAATAAAGAATGTCCTTTGTGTCGTGCTACCATTGAGGATTCGGTCGTTCAATTACTGACAGGTCCTACTCAGCCACCAGTGCAACCACAACAAACGACACCAATTCCACCTCCTGCAGTAAATGTGAGCAGTTAAATGCTTGATAACATCGGTTTTTCCCGAATGAAATCATTTCAGAAATAGCTCTGGGTCATATATGATCTATTCTCTTCATAGAATTTTATAAAAATTAATTCGTTTATTACCAAATCAATTGATCACCATCGAAGTTTTTATTTTCATACAGGCAGTCAGACTCACATATGATATGGTAGCCGACATAAAATAGTTACCAACTCAGACGGTATTCATTTGATTAAGTAATAAATTAATTAATTTTCGTACAGCATTGTAAATAGAATGGATCATATGTGATTTGGATGTTTTTCACTTATGAATTTATTCGGCGAAAGTAGGTCGAACCAAATGTATCACATATCCTTCTACGCTATTCTATACGAACACATTTAAACGTTAAGTCATGACTTAATACTGATGATATCTTATAGGTTGTTCCTTCGGTCGAAGATCTAATCGATGAAGTTGCCGTACGGGAACTTAGCGATCGTCTGGCTTCTGCTCGTCAGGCTGCCATCGCTTCAATGAATGATACTGGCAATATTCCATTGATCATTGTTTCAACGACTGTAGAATATGGAGCTCAAGTTTCGCATGAAGAATCGAATATTTACGGTCTTGTCACTCTTCAAGCACCAACTATAATCCTACCAGCAGAGACTGCATCGCTCGTGTCGTCTCGTGTTCCAATTGATCTTGTTTGTGTTGTTGATCAAAGTGGATCGATGGCGGGTGAGAAAATAGCTCTACTAAAACAAACTTTGGTCTACATTGTCGAACAAATGAACGAACTTGATCGGCTAGCTATTATTTCATTCAATACTATAGCTTTTGATCGTTCACATGGTCTCAAACAAATGAATCAACAAAAGTGAGTCTAACATTCACTCAAAAGAATATATTTGCAAATATATCACTGAGAATTTTCATCAGAAATTATGTACATTTATCGGATGAGATGCGCTAATTTCAAATCTAAAATCAGCGTAAATGATTATCTAACTATTGCGCACCTGCTTGCTAGTGTAGTACAATTTCAATAGAATAATCCGTTCTATCACTTGACACTATTAATTATTTCACTTCCATGGTATTGTCAACAGTTGCGAAGAGAATCATGAGAGAAATGAAAATAACTAGAGTTCCTAGACGTAATGAACTACACGTGTTTCGTCTCTGGTTAATTTTCTTCACTTGATACTTGTAAGTTATCCTATAGCGCTTTACAATCGAAGAGAAGAAAGTATCTAAATTTACTTGTTGTTTTGACCCATTATAGAACAGTTTTAACAATCCAATACTAGGAAATAGAAAAAATAAACAAACAAACGAATTGAAATTGTTTCATAGATTATATACTTCATTTCTAATGATCGACGTCATAAGCATGACGTTCATGAAGAAGTCTTGCATTTATTGGATTGAAAATCAACAAAATTGGACATAGTCCTAAACTAACGCTCCTAAATTTCGATTAGAAAGGCTGTTTCGTATATTGCATTAAGATTTGTTACTGATTTTTTGATTACTATACAATAATATGTTTTCGTACGGGTTCTCTTCCTATAAAAATTAGCAGATAACTGAATATTCGAGACAAGAAAAAAATTATATAAAAATCGTCTACCGTATCGAAATACGTCGATATAAGATACTCAGAAAATATTGATTATAGCTTTTCAACGATATAATTTTATTACCAATCCGTTTAATATTTGAGATTGGCGCCCTTTGATTAAGAAACCTGCATAATTTTTACTAATTCTTAGCAAACAGATCTTGACTAATGCGATCAATACTGATATTACTGATGGAGGTGGTACTTATATCGGAAGCGGATTGCAAATGGGCATCAACTTGCTTATTAATCGCCAAACAAAAAATCCATTGCATGCTTTACTTTTGCTTACCGATGGTCAAGACAATGATAGTCATGACTATACGCAACTAATGCAAACTTTACCCAGTGGTGTTCAATGTCATACATTCGGTTACGGACCTGATCATACGGCCTCATTATTGGTCCAACTAGCCGAACAAGGAAATGGAGGTACATTCACTTACGTTGTAAGTTGAGATTGATTATTCGATATTCAAATTATCATGATTGATTGTGTACTCGTAAATCTTTTTAACAGGATGAAGAACATGCTATAGGTCCTGCATTCGCAATGGCTCTTGGTGGCCTATTTACATGTATTGCACAACAACTTCATATCAACATTGAATTCACTGATGGCTATAAGATCACTGATGTTCATTCAAAATATAAATATGAGCCTGAACAATTGCCTTCAGCAAAACTTAATGTTAAGTTACACGATTTGAATGCTGAAGAAAAGCGAAACTTTGTTTTTCAATTACATGTGCCCAAATTGGACAACCATGAACAAAATGTGGACATGACTACTCAACAATCAATATCATTGACTCAATCTTCAGAGGAAAAACAATTGTTTGAAAATCAAATAATTGGTAAACATCAGCAAGAACTGTTTTCTTGTTTGAATCGAGCAGGATCATCATCATTATTAAATTGTTCTTCTCTCTGAATAGGTAATGTGACCGTCATCTATGTCGATCCCAATACTCATCGTACAATAACAACAGATCCAGTGTCTTTTAAGTTAGTTCGAGGTTCTCAACCTCCAATTGATCTGCTTTGCGTCAATCATGAACTTGATATTCAACGAAACCGAGTTGAAACAGCACATGCACTTGCACAAGCAATGGCTGAGAATGATTATCGACAATCACGTGCTATTCTCGAAGCTCAAGTAAACAAAATCAAGGCTAGTGCATCTGGGCAAGATCCTTTCTGTCAAAAATTAATTAAAGATCTTGAATATAGCTATCCATCGGAACGTGTTTATCGATCGTCACACCAAAATACTTATAGGTGTCATGTAACTGAACGAGGCACATACCAGCCGTCAAGCAATATTAGCTCACGAGACTATGCTAATGCCTGCCAACGGCGAATGGCTTTGAATTTCCCAAATAACAAGTCATCATAAAATTTATAACAGTAAATTTGATCTTGACATTGACACATTTTTTTTACATTAAAATAATTTAAACGACTTTATAAACGGCGTCTTATAATGTGGATCACTCATTCGATAATCTATATAAATTTCTTCTTATAAGCATTGAATACTCCTGATGTGTACTTCGCTCAACTACTTAAAATTTTTCATGTTTATTTTTCTATTTGATATTTGTGAAAAATACTTTGATGTGATAAATACATTCTACTAAACAATTCGTGTGTTAATTCAAAGATCACTTTCTTTGACTCGATTGAATACCATATATTACTTCTTTTCCTCTCGCTCAGTATGACTGAAGATTCTAAAAATGTCTCTATATCCAAAGTCCATGAACATGTGTAGAACTGAAGATAAAATAGATATCGATACAAGCTTATGGTTCAAAAGAACGAACAGCGTTACGCGTAATATTCTCGACAAAACCCTATCGTCCTTCATAGAAATATAAATAGCAAAAACGAACAACAAGAATACTTTAAAGTTCATTCTCCAGAATCAAATCATCTTGTTAATGACTCAAATACTCTTTTAGATCGCATGAAATGAAAATGTAACCCAAGGTTGCGCGATGATTCTAAATTTCCAGTAAATACGAGCTTGCTATCACATAAATTTTTATTATAAAATTTGATATGAGGATACTGTAGAGGAGAATTTTTCCTTTGATTCATCAACTGACACCTTACGCCGTCTTTGAGATGATGAATAGAAAGTCGTTCCCGACTTTCAGCCAATATTTATGAATTCGGTCGAATCAATAAATGTCTATTTCAAAGGTTTGATTTAACCTTTTATTTATAGAAAATAACTCATTTTAAATACTTTTAAAAAGACACATTTCTGCTGTCCACTTAGATTTATAATTTACTCCACTATTTTTTGAATAACTGGAAAACGCAACCAGCTAGAGATGTGCAATTTCATCAATTGAAAGAGAAGACATGGGAACGTGTTTTTCTTCAGTAGTGTGTAAGATGAAACTATCTAAAGTCATTTATTGCTGCGAAATATTACAAAAAAATGTATGAAAAACGATCTATCATTCAAATGAAATTTTGATGTTAACATGTCATGTAGAAAGAGAAACTTCAGATCTATAGTTCTAAATATAATTCGAATGATTATCGTCTCACATGCAAATGTTGAGCAAAATAAATTGTCTACTTACTTGCATGAAAACTATGGATTTCTTTTAATTTTTTAGCAAATTTTTTTACTTTTTGTGGAAATTTCATCTGAGTAATACACCATTTTTCATACATTTTTTGCAATGTTTTGAAGAAAAGAATGACTATAAAGTGGTTTCATCTCACACAATATTGACGAAAAAAGATGTATATATGTCTTCTATTTTCATTCATGGAAACCGCAGGTCTGTACCTGTTTGTGTTCTCAAGTTATTTAAAAAGCAGTGGTTCACATTATACTTCTAAATGGACATTAGTTTTCTATGGGCAATATTTTAACGGCCAAGTCTCAATTATATTTTAATTTAAACTTTATGAAACAATTTATTGAACTTTCTCTGAAACCTTTAAAGATCCTTAAAGGATGTTCGATAAGTTTTAGTTCCATCAATATTTTTATTTCTATATATCCAAAAATGGAGTGACACTGAAGATATAACAACATTTGAAGAGTAACATCTAAGCAATCATTTAATTAAAAATACACTCAATCGAAACTGATCGTAAGAAAGTATTACATCAGTAAAATTATTGAATAAATTATCTTTAACTACTCTTTTATTTTGTACTCATTAGAGTGAAAAAAACAGCGGTCACTCATTGCGACTTACTAATAGTTTCCTACGATTATTGCATGCTATATATGGTAGAAATTTGGAGATGTATGTGAAGTGAGCGTGCAGATATAGGTGAATGTAAGGAGGTGGGTGTCTGGGAAAGAGTAGATCCACACCCACACCCTGAATATAACATCGTTACAGTGTTATGGCTCATGATTTCTTAGATGATTTTAGAATTTACAAATCATTGCTGTTTCCTAGTTATATGTGATTGTGTTTCATCTTTTTTTTAATGCTGCATTTTTTTCCCATGAAGTTATTTTAATTTCAATCTGTTTAACTGCCTTGCTTATACATCACTCTTTTCTCTTTGTGATTTTTCTTTTTGCATATTTTTCACAGTTATTCTTGATATCACTATTTTGTTTTATCTTTTTTTTTGATTTGTTTTTTTGCATGGTTATTTTCTTTTGCTTCATCATTCTCACGTTTTATTCTTTTTACTATCTTACTTGTATGGCTCTGTATTTATATATTTATTTGGTCTTTTTTATCTGATTGGTAGGTCCTTAAACAGATAGTTAGATATATACATAAGACCGCTTAATTGAAGAAGAAATTTTAGAGCATTTGAATCAATTACAATGCATAATTGTGGATCAAAACTTTTGAAAAAGTTGTGTGTAGAAATATTGAAGAATCTGTAAGTATAACATCTAAAACTTAGCTAATGTATAAACTAATCGTTTTCGATTGCTGATCGTGAACCAAAATTAGTATGTAAAACGACATCAACTCCACAGAAAAGAAAGCAATTTTCATGCTATTCTTTTATAATTTGCTGATAAAAATTCAGTTATAATATTATTTCTTTATGTCGTCGTATGAACATTTGTAGATTAAATTACCTACAATCTTTTAATTTTACAACAGAGACAAAAAAACGTACAATTAAAGAAAAAAGAATCCAAATATGAAGGCTAAACTAGTTACCTCCTTAGTGTGTTTCATCGTTTTGATAGCTTTGGTTGGTATGGCTATGGCTAGACCGAAGTAAGTTGATATTGACACTCGCATAAGAATATTTTTTTTTATAGTAGATAATCATAGACTATTATTATAAATCAACTTTTTTATTTTTCTAATTGAAGGGTCGTTTTTAATCCTCCTGAAGATACTTGTGGCGGTACTTGCAAAGTTGGCCCACACGGCATTCCATGTAATGAGAAATGTTACTGTTCCGTTGAATGGGCAGGATATGGATCGTGCAAAGGATCAAATACGTAATGTTCTCTTTTAATTCAGTTTCCTTCTGATTTATCTTCTTGACTTTAAAATAATAATAAAAGACCAACAATCTTTCAAATATATTATCTTATTTATAATTATAGAAGAAACTATAATTAACAAATACAGTGATAACCCAGAAGAGTGTGGGTGTGAATGTGAATAAAAAGAACACCCACACTCGTTCAAATATATTTTTTCGAATATATTTAAAATGGATGTTGGTTATCACATTCTCGTCACTCACATTGATATCCGTTGTCATATTCTTTTTTATTTGTTTGATCAATTTGAAAACAAAAGAAGGTGAAGCATACATTGGTAAAACATGTAAAGCAACATATATGTTTCGTTTGATAAACAGACATATCTGCTACATGATATTCTGTCGAAGACTGGTTCCTACTTTACCATTTATGGAATATTTTAGCGAATGAAAAAACACAGTTTCATGTAAAGCGAAATGCATTGTTTTTTTTTCAACATGAACTGTTAAAGGAAAAGACACGTATTCAAAGTGATTTTGTGTCTTTTCTGTTTTTTCTTTTATTCATTATTTTGACTTTTTATTTGCGTTGTGCATGCTTCTCAAAACATAATGTGAACAGCATCAATTTATTTTCAAATATTGTGTGGTATGAGGGCTCTTACATCTGTACTAGTCATCTGGTGTGATGTTGCATTCGAAAATGAGCACACCTATCAGTCAATGACCAATGAATTCAAAAATGCTATTAAAGCTACACCTGAAAAGAAATCGGAGCATATCGATATGGCTATTTTCAACGGAGTAAACTATTGTATTAATTTAAACGATGCTCCATTGATCATTGTACGCATAGCTAATAATGCTATGAATGAAGTTCGAAAAAATCAAAACAAGACAATTTTCATCATTTCTTCAGATACAGTAAGTCGATACCTAGCATCCGAAATCCTACATCAATACTCATTGATGCATGCCTTCTACATATTTTGTTTCAACATTCCTCTCAATACGGAATGGGCACAAGAGTACGCAAGCAACTTACTCATGTTTGATTAACAAACTGATCTGTTAGTTCGGCTCACACGTGATATTGTTAATCATTTAATTAAGCATGGACAAATGTTTTTCGATGTCAATTCTTCACGAAAAGCCATAAGTTGTTTTAATCTTACACGTAACTTAGAAATCCATGCCAATCAACGAGACAAAATGGTGCCTAATACAAAAAGTAAAGCATCTCAATGTTCACAACTTGATTATCGTCAACATCTCGATCTACTCGAAGGCGACCATGAACTGATAATTCAAGCTGAGAAGGTCATGCAAGAATAAGAATATTCGAAGAAAGTTCTGGAATTATTGACACACGTCATGATTAGATACCAAGATTAGTTATAAAAATTAGAGTAGCCTTCAAAATCCATGGATATGGTTCGTCTCTCAATTTACACCCATGACATCTCGATAAAACTGAATATGAAAGTTTTCATAATCTACAATAGGAGTATTGGATTAGAATCAAAATTACCTTTAAACGATATCATTATCGTTATCATACAAGATACTATTTGATTTCAAGCTGAATTTCGAAGAAAAAAAAATAAATTCGATTTCAAATAGAAAGGAGTGGCTAAGGCGATCTTCAGATGGTTCTAATGTTATCTATGCACGGGAATAAGTTTTAACACACTCTCCTCTCTCTGTCCCAAGACGTCTTTACCCTCTACGAGGAATAGTTTGTTTGGAAAAGTGTAGGTGCGCCTAGAAACAATAGTGAAATTTATGGAATAAACTAGCAGGAACTCTAGGCCATGTCTCCTTGTCGATGTGCCTTTTTCCGATAAGGGATTGCTTTTGTAATATGAAGCCTAGCATATATACAGAAAATCTTTGGAAATTTTGAACCTAATCTCTTCATGATATTGAACTATCAAGATATAAATGTATTAAGAATATTAAATTTGAAAGCTGTATATCTCAGAGGAGTAGTGTCACATATCCAAGATTTTGGAGATGCCACCACATCTCCA